CCCTATAGACATATATACAAGATATATAGAAGTGCCTAACGTGTCGTCTGACATCCTAGAAAGACACAATTTTTCGACAGATTCTGTTGCTGGTGGCTGCTAGCAGTAAAACAGGTTCGAAAAAATCACCTCCCGGGGGGAAAACACCAGGGCTCTGAAGGACGAGCGAGTGCCAGAACCACGCCAAAAAAGTGCCTAACGTGTCGTCTGAAATCCTAGAAAAATCTAGATTTTTGGTAGGCTGCTGACTACTGGCTGCTGGCTGCTACTGGCGCTGGCTGCTAGCTACTGGCTATGTGCACCTTTTGCGTGCTCTTGCCCATGTTCTTGACACCCATTGGTGCTATATAAACGAGGAAACTGCCAAACGTCACGTTTGAAACCCTATAGAAATATATACAAGATATATAGAAGTGCCTAACGTGTCGTCTGACACCCTAGAAAAACACAATTTTTCGATAGATTCTGTTGCTGGCGGCTGCTAGCAGTAAAACAGGTTCGAAAAAATCACCTCCCGGGGGGGAAAACACCAGGGCTCTGAAGGACGAGCGAGTGCCAGAACCACGCCAAAAAAGTGCCTAACGTGTCGTCTGAAATCCTAGAAAAATCTAGATGTTTGGTAGGCTGCTGGCTACTGGCTGCTGGCTGCTACTGGCGCTGGCTGCTAGCTACTGGCTATGTGCACCTTTTGCGTGCTCTTGCCCACGTTCTTGACACCCATGCCATCCTAGAAAAACACAATTTTTCGTGCTGCTAGCTGCTGCACTGCTGCCGTTGCGCTTGCTGCTGCTGCGTCTGCTTGGAAAAACACAATTTTTCGATAGATTCTGTTGCTGGCGGCTGCTAGCAGTAAAACAGGTTCGAAAAAATCACTTGCCGGGGGGAAAACACCAGGGCTCTGAAGGACGAGCGAGTGCCAGAACCACGCCAAAAAAGTGCCTAACGTGTCGTCTGAAATCCTAGAAAAATCTAGATTTTGGGTAGGCTGCTGGCTACTAGCTGCTGGCTGCTACTGTCGCTGGCTGCTAGCTACTGGCTATGTGCACCTTTTGCGTGCTCTTGCCCACGTTCTTGACACCCATGCCATCCTAGAAAAACACAATTTTTCGTGCTGCTAGCTGCTGCACTGCTGCCGTTGCGCTTACTGCTGCTGCGTCTGCTTGGAAAAACGCAATTTTTCGATAGATCCTGCCGGGGGGGAAAACACCAGGGCTCTGAAGGACGAGCGAGTGCTAGAACCACGCCAAAAAAGTGCCTAACGTGTCGTCTGAAATCCTAGAAAAATCTAGAGATTTTGGGTAGGCTGCTGGCTACTGGCTGCTGGCTGCTACTGGCGCTGGCTGCTAGCCATTGGTGCCATCCTTGAAAACCACAATTTTTCGTGCTGCTAGCTGCTGCACTGCTGCCGTTGCGCGTACTGCTGCTGCGTCTGCTTGTGTCTGCTGCTGCCTACTGATGCTTGCTGCTGCCTGCTGCTGCCTGCGGCGGCCTGCTGCCTGCTGCTGGTGCTGCTGCTGGTGGCTGCTGCTGCTGTGGTGCTGCTGTCGTGCTGCTGCAATCAAACAGCTTCCAAAGCAAGAAACAACTGCTGCTGCTGCTGCTTGCTGCTGCTGCTGCTGCCCTTTTGCATGCTCTTGCCCATGTTCTTGACACCCATTGGTGCCATATAAATGAGAAAATTGCCAAACGTGACGTCTGAAACCCTATAGAAATATATACAAGATATATAGAAGTGCCTAACGTGTCGTCTGACATCCTAGAAAAACACAATTTTTCGACAGATTCTGTTGCTGGAGGCTGCTAGCAGTAAAACAGGTTCGAAAAAATCACCTGCCGGGGGGGAAAACACCAGGGCTCTGAAGGACGAGCGAGTGCCAGAACCACGCCAAAAAAGTGCCTAACGTTTCGTCTGAAATCCTAGAAAAAGCTAGATTTTTGGTAGGCTGCTGGCTACTGGCTGTTGGCTGCTACTGGCGCTGGCTGCTAGCTACTGGCTATGTGCACCTTTTGCGTGCTCTTGCCCATGTTCTTGACACCCATTGGTGCTATATAAACGAGAAAACTGCCAAACGTCACGTTTGAAACCTATAGAAATATATACAAGATATATAGAAGTGCCTAACGTGTCGTCTGACACCCTAGAAAAACACAATTTTTCGATAGATTCTGTTGCTGGCGGCTGCTAGCAGTAAAACAGGTTCGAAAAAATCACCTGCCGGGGGGGAAAACACCAGGGCTCTGAAGGACGAGCGAGTGCCAGAACCACGCCAAAAAAGTGCCTAACGTGTCGTCTGAAATCCTAGAAAAATCTAGATTTTTGGTAGGCTGCTGGCTACTGGCTGCTGGCTGCTACTGGCGCTGGCTGCTAGCTACTGGCTATGTGCACCTTTTGCGTGCTCTTGCCCACGTTCTTGACACCCATTGGTGCCATCCTAGAAAAACACAATTTTTCGTGCTGCTAGCTGCTGCACTGCTGCCGTTGCGCTTGCTGCTGCTGCGTCTGCTTGGAAAAACACAATTTTTCGATAGATTCTGTTGCTGGCGGCTGCTAGCAGTAAAACAGGTTCGAAAAAATCACTTGCCGGGGGAAAACACCAGGGCTCTGAAGGACGAGCGAGTGCCAGAACCACGCCAAAAAAGTGCCTAACGTGTCGTCTGAAATCCTAGAAAAATCTAGATTTTTGGTAGGCTGCTGGCTACTAGCTGCTGGCTGCTACTGGCGCTGGCTGCTAGCTACTGGCTATGTGCACCTTTTGCGTGCTCTTGCCCACGTTCTTGACACCCATGCCATCCTAGAAAAACACAATTTTTCGTGCTGCTAGCTGCTGCACTGCTGCCGTTGCGCTTACTGCTGCTGCGTCTGCTTGTGTCTGCTGCTGCCTACTGATGCCTGCTGCTGCCTGCTGCTGCCTGCGGCGGCCTGCTGAGTAGTAGTAATAGTAGTAGTAGTAGTAGTGGTACTAGAAGTTGGGGTCGGCGGATATAGAACAGAAAAAATTGCTACCAATGCTGTGTCAGAAAATCCTTTTCCCTTTCGCGCTCCCCCTTGCGCAGCCGGGGTCGGCGGATATATATATACACACATATATACACACACACATATATATATATACACATATGTATTATTTTCTAGCTGTATATGGAGGAATATGGTGTACCATTAAAACAAATCAGTGTGAAGCCCAACATGCACAACCTGATAGACGAATCAATAAACCTTCAAAACTCCAAACGTGGACAACCCAACCCAGCACTACTCATTGTGAAGATTCCCAAATCCTTGGTGCCAGTGCGAGTAGCATCTCCTGGCAGATTTGTGCATACGCTTCCAGCCCCACGAAGGGCAAATCTGCAAGGCGGGTGAACAGACCATCGATCAGCCTTTGCGAAAAGCTCTTGGCTTCGAGATGTTTGAGAGATGGGTATTTTTTTTTCGGCGGAAGATTGGAGACCCCCTCTAGACAAGCAAAGGGGAGAATTCCAATGGGAAACGACTGGATGGGCTCCCATTCTTGCCACATGTGCCAAGCTTTGGTGGGGAAAACAATCAAATAGCTTTAGAGAATTTGATTGCTGCCGCTGCTATCGCTGCTCCAGCTTTTTGTAGTTAGTTTGCACACCCCCCCAAATCCATGCAGAGCATCTGGGGTTCCAATGCTAGGCCATATGGTAAAATCACGGCTTTGTTAAGGAAGGCTCCATGACAGTGCAGCAACACCCTTCAGCCATTGAAGTTGATGCAGATCTAATACTGACAGAGAGAAACAAGAAGTTATAGATGTTCTCAGTTGGCATCCTGTGAGACGATGGAGGCCTGGATTGCTGGGAGGTTTCAAATGGATGAGGGAACTACTAGACATGACAAAAAAGTGTGGGTCCGTGGCTATTCCTTTTGTGAGCCACGCCCCTTTTGCAAAGTTTGGAGTTTGCTGGTTTCTGGCCTCACTTCTAAGTGGGATATTTCACCCGAAGGTCCGGTGGTTGAACCAGAATTCATTCCACCCAAACCTGCGGCCTGTCTAAAGACCCAGAGCCGATTGCCTGCGAACTCTTGGATTGGTCGGAAAATAGGATACCATCATCATCCATCATTTTCACCATTACCCTCTGGTAATTTGTTACATAGCTATTGAAAATCACCATTTACAGTGGATTTTCCCATTGAAAATTGTGATTTTCCATAGTTATGTTAGTTTACCAGAGGGTATACACTATTTACAGAGACACCCTTTGAATAAGCGGCCACCAGTTGTTTTCTGATCCCCTGGCAGCTCCCAGATTCGTTGTCAGGCCACTGGACGTCCCGACCTCATGTTTGGACATGGCGTCTTTGTCCACCCCCGAAAAAGTGATTTGAATGATATCTGGTTATTTAACATAGCCATGGTTTTTCGATGGCCCATAGAAATAGATGGTTTACCTATTCATAGCATGGTGGATCTTTCCATGGCGAACTGTTAGTCATAACCAGATCGTTTTTCTCTACGAATCTACGCATATTTTCGAGGTCCCTCACCACCGGAGCATCGTCCAGATGGAAATCAGAGGCTGGGTCGCCAAGGGCCTCCGGTCATCAGCTCCATGGCTGGAATTGTCCTTTAGTTCGATGATTTTTAGGTAGAAACCTCCATTGAGTTTGGGTATTTCCACTTGCCATCTTTGATTACCAGAGGACATATTATATATTGATGTGGTATTTATTGTCTTTACATCTTACATGCATTTACATACCCTCATATATCCCCCTGTGACACTTGTCAATGAAACAACGCCTGTGTATTTTTCTGGTTTATTGCAAAATGCTGTGATCTTCACCCCTTATATGATGATACCCAAACTAGACTGTCATCTTTGGGTCGGTCCGAACATGTCAACAGGACAAACAAAATTCGACAGGACATAAAGCCAAAACCTGATGCTTGAAAAACATTGAAACACCACATTTTTCTAGCTGATGTCTATCAGTGTATCACCATTTTCCCTTATGAAACACTGTTAAAATGGTCAGGCCCCGCCCAACGCGGCGGCGCGTCGTAGTGAAGCGAAAGGCGCGCAACTGGGGTTGGTTTGTGAAGTTTGGTGAGATCCCAAAAAAATTGGATGATGCACATTAGATGGTTTAGGCAGTGAAAGGTTGAAATCCAAGCTGTTTTCCAAAATCTGGGGACATCGAATGATATATATATATATATCATATATATATATATGATATATATATATATATTATACTTATTATTCATCATGTTTAGTGCGATTCTCCTTCATTCTGTTAATTGATGTTTTTTTGTGCAGCTCCACCGAGGTGTCCAATGCGACTTATGAGAGGCACAAGGCGGATACAAGTTGATGCGGCAGAAGATGATTGGATGTTGCGGCACAGGGTGGATGTTTTCTTTCCTTAATTTTGAAAAACATCTGCGGATTAATAGATGTACTGTAGATGTTTTTGAGTTTGATTTTGAAAAGAAATCTGGGGATGCAAGTGACTACAGTGAGTGTCTCGCTTTACCGCGTAGAAAATGACTTGTTGATGGGGGTCCCAATGATGTTTTTCATGGACAGGAGCAGATGGAGCATTTGGGTTTGGATCCCACAGATCCACTCCCTCCACAAGAGAGCATGGAGGATTTGCTGGGATTTCAGTGGGATTTCAGGGGAGGTTTCATACACCAAGATCAGTCCAATGCATCCAAAAAGGCTATAGCGGCTATGTCAGAAGATGGTGGGGACATGTTGCATGGAACCCTAAGCTCTCACCTGGTAGCCCTGGTTGTCACTGTAGTCTGTTCCAGCAGGCAAAGCGTTCATGGTATCCCGATCGCGTTTTTGGGCCTTACATCATCTTACATCATCTTACATCCACATATTTTTGCAGAGAACTCTCCTTAAATAATCATCGGATGGGTTCAGCTATCAGGTCATTTATTCCAAATGTGAATAAACTGGAATAAATTGAATAAAAGGTCTTTCATTCATCTAGTCAGCTTTGTGATGGGATGCCCTGAGCCCTGGCGGCGATCCCGGAATTGGGAGCAGTTCGGAGCGGTATCCAGGCTTTCCCTATGAAATTGGCCAATTTCTTAGGACATACCATCAAAAATATCATGAAATATCCATCTTTCCTATGCTACTATGAGAATTCCAAGCATCTGATAGTCGTACAAAACATATCGGACACTGGTTCTGTTTTTTTTTTAAATCTCTTTTTGAGACATGACTTAGAATCATTATCACAAAAAAAAACATCATGTTGTATATCCCATGATATTCCCATTCAATTTCCATTACAGTTGATGTAACAGTCGCTACAGTATATCATATATATCCCAGATATCCCATAGATTTTCCCACGAGATATCCATGGCGTTCCCATAGGATGAACTGGACGATCCGGACGTGACGGAGCAAGACATGCCGTCCCTTGGCCTCAGGGGTTTCACCATCCCTATTAAAATTTTAACCCATAATTATCTGGGATGGTGAAACCGTGTCCCATAAATATTAACCCATAATTATCCATATTAACCCATAATTATCATTCCCAGGTTGTATTACCCTCTGGTTATGACTAACATAGCCATGGAAAATCCCTCATAAATGAAGGTTTCTAGCTGGGAAAATAATCTATTTCTATGGGCCACCTATACCATGGCTATGTTAAATAACCATATGGTAACTATGTATCCCTAATAAGGTTAAATAAATATCTGGTTTAAGCCATATATTTGCCTGGGTTCAATGACAACCAGACTAAATTGGGGATACATTGGATACAATGATATTTGTATACACATAAAAAAGCGTTTCTGAAACCTTTTCTATCTGGGGTCTATGCCGGTGTAATTGTATACAATACCGCTGCAGAAGAACAAACACTGCTTGCTTAATAAGCCTGGATTATGAATGTTAAGCCTGGTTGATTACTTCGTAAACCCTGTTCCCCCCCAAATAGTGAGGGTTCCGATTATGGGATAGTTGATGAAGGATCAGGGGTTTCCTCGGTTCCCTCCAAATAGTGAGTTCATCTGCTACTAAGCTGTGACACCCCGCAAGTAAACAACCCAGGGGTTTATTCATCGAGGGAAACCTGGAGACAAAATCAACACTCGTGGGACTAGTTGGAGGAAAAACCAAGGACAATGAGAGTCTAAATGCCGTAGAACAAAGTAGCATGCAGCAGTAGGCATGATTGGTGTGATTACAATGACAGTTTTTTTTTCAAAACAATCAGTGCTAGAATGTGCTGACTGCAAAGAAGCTTTGGATTCTGGCAGCGAAGTGTATGTACTTTTGTCCAGAGGGGAACATCCCAATTTAAAGACACGGAAGCTTGGGAAAATTATGATAGATCATTGAATAGAATGGGGTATCCTTTTGGTCGATCTGATGAGAACCAATGTTTGAGACCCTCAGACTCTAGACTGGGTGCTCACCGATTTTACACACACACATAATTAGATATATACTGCTTGTATCGTATGTAAAACTAGCGGATCCAATTTGTTGAGGCCACAGAAATCCCCTGCAGCCTCCGCGTCCCCGCTGAGGCCACTGCCTCCACAACAAGGCATCTTTCCTCCGCCAAGTCCCATGAAAGCCTCTCCATCCACCCAGGCACCGCTTGCTCCAACTGGTCCCACGATTTTGGTCCAAAAACTAGGAGAATCCAACCATTGGTTTCCTGAGGCCGTGAACTCGTGGAAGTTGTCACTGCAGATCCCCTATGGATGAGCCATGGACCACTAGAAATCGACCCTCTGGCAGGTGATGCAAGCTGCATCGAAGGCACCAAATATGGACGTGGGGAATGGCACCCTGGAACCGTGGTTCCAGCCCCTACTGTTGTTGGATTGGAAAGCTGGTTTCATTAGTGATCCAAGCAAGTCCTGGATAAAAACATCAGGTCAATTCCCCAACTGTGTGACGGGATGGGTATGTCATTTGTTGTTGGCCAACCCCCCCGGACCTTGGTCCAGAACCCATTCTCAGGGGAAAGAACGGAAGACGGTGAGCCTGAAGACCCGCACGCTTGAGGAGCAGATTGTGGCCGGCAGGTGGGCGAGACATTGCTTGACACTGTTTTGTTGTGTGACAGCTGCCCAAGCGAACGAAGAGGGACGTCGGAAGAGTCAATGACAATGGATGCTGATGTAAACTTTCATTTGGTTTCAGCTCCCCAGAGAATCTAGTTTCCAGATGTTTTCACTACTTTCATCTCACTAAAGATGACCAGAAAATCTGGTGACACCAGAAACCACAGACCTGGGAGGTACGAGCGGGCTCTTGATCGGTGGGGACAGCAGTTGCAGCCTCAGCGAGCCCAAGCCGAGCCTACGAGTTTGGGGATGGACTGCATCCCCTATGGGGGATGGGACATCCAGGCAGATCCACCAAGTTTTTTGGGGACATGGTTTTTTTGGGACATCACATGGATTTTTCGATATTTTTTGCTCCCCAAATAGCTTTGAGGCAGCAAGAATGGGAGAAGTTCCGACATCTTGCAGCTCGAAAGAGCTGATCTTAGCTGCAGCGGTGGAGCCGGGGGGCGGTTGAAGATGATCCTGCGAATTGCATCAATTTATAGACGTCCACAAAAAGTCTTAGAGAAAGATAAAATGAACATCGGGCGAGATCCACCTTCATCTTTCTCTAGGGTTACCTGAATGCGTGGCTCCACGAAAATAGTTGACATCCATCAGCTGCCATGTTCGTAGATGATGTGGAATCCCATCAACCAATCGACATATTGCTCAAAAATCAAAAAAGTTGCTAACATCTCCAAGTTTTGCATGTTTTTTTTCATCCTTGAGATCCTCAATCAGCCATACCAGCCATAGGATCTTCCAAGCCAAATCCTGGCGCCTTGGCCGAGGACAGGCAGAGACAAGGAGGAATTGGTCGTAACCCGCGCCGAAGAACACCGAGAACGGCTGGAGGTGATGGAACTCCTAGACCGAGCCGGAAGCCCAAAGGCTTGTGATGACTCTGCCAACTGAGTGGTGCTATGTTTTTACATAGATAGTGTATATATATATATAGATACTATATATATATATATATATATAGATACTATATAGATATTATAGCATTAAATATCTACACGTTACATCACGAGGAAATTTCCGATCCTCCGAGATGATGATCTCAAGTGGCTTTCCGGTCTGTTTCTTGCTGAAAAGCAGTGAATCTTGCAGAGAAGCCTTGATGCTGGGACTTGAGGCCACTCCCGACGAGATTAAGAGTGGTGGCCATGTCCTCAGCAAACGTTTTTTTTGTCAGGGGCCCATGAGGACAAAATCTAGGGGAGACTATGTTATTTGCCAATATATATATATACATATACGTACATATATATTAATTTGAGTGGTGTTGAACGAAACTGGTAACGTAGTGATAAGGGGAGTGAACAACGATGATATATCATTGTTGCTCCATGTGCAGCCTTTTACTCTCAAGGCAACCACGATATTACCTCCCAGCATGTGGCTGGGAGGAGGGCTGAACCCTGAGCAGTGGTTCAAGCTCAAAGTGAAGACCGGCCAGGTTTTCGAGGGATCGGTCCGGGATGAAGGGGGCAGCCCCCAGGGGACGATCCTGGTCAGGGTGACCCAGCCGGTGCTGCTGGATTCATCCGGCCACCTCTTCCAGGCCGAGTACCTGACTGCATCCGATCCGCATTACAGGTGGTGGATGACTCACGGTGACGGCCGGGGCCTGAAGAAGAACGCATCTTACCACTCTTGTGGAGTGAGGGCTCATGAGTGTCCCTACAAGAAGGGCAAGACGAAGATCATCCACTTGGAGCGCATCAGGCTGATCGGGGCCAAGGAGTGGAAAGCCAAGACCCCTGCCTGGTGCTTCAAGGCGCCTTGCAAGAAGGAGATACAAGAGTTCCATGATGCGATGGCCAAGTCGAATGTGGAGGAGCCAGGTGGAGTTACTTTACCCTGGGCGGAATCTGACCCGGGTGAAGAGTCAAGTGAGGAGGAGACTGAAGCCGAGGATGCCGGCACAGCTCAGAAGATTGCCCGGTTGAAGGCTGAGCTAGAGCGGCTTGAGCGGCGTGGAAAGGCCGAGCCGGCCAAGAAGAAGAAAAAGAGGAAGGGGGGCCAAGGGCCACCTAGGGAGGAGGACCGCAAGGATAAGGTCAAGAAGAAAAAGAAAGGCAAGAAGCCAGGTCGCAGACGAAAGGCAGAGTCGGAGGAGGAAGTGATAACCAAGAAGAAGAAGAGAAAGCAGGAGGGTGCTCTGTCTGAGGAAGAGGAGGCCAGCTCTTCGGAAGAGGACCTTTTCATTGCCAAGAAGTCCAAAAAGGAGGATCTGGCAATTTACCCGAAGAAGGGCGACAGAGGCCCCTTCGGTGCAGGTGTCCCCATGGAGTTTGACGATGATGACACGACAGATTCAGATCAGGAGGCAGTTTTTCGCGATGCCCCCGCCCAGCCACAAAAGTCAGGGCAACTAGCCTTGATGACATACAGTCACCAGAAGCCCGGGCGATTGGCGGCCCGTTTGCTGATGAAGATGAGGAACGAGGTGACGCTGGGTTCGGCGGGGGCAGAAGGCAGCAGCCGGGAAAAGACTCCGGCCACAGGAGTTCAGTACCTGCTCACCATCCTCCTGCCGCAGCTGGGCCAGCGAGCCAACCTGAGGACCCAGCGAGAACTGAGGACGCTGATGGTCGCGGTCGACCTCCTAGCTCGCAAGAACCCGGCCAGAGCGGCAGACGTTCTCTGTCAACGAGTCAAAGCCCTGGAAAGGGCAAGCATGGACGGAGGGTGGTCGAGCGCTCAATTTCTCGAACTCATCCCGGCGGAGAATTCATCACTCCTCGAGCGCGACGAGGAAGTCTACCTGAGCAAGGAGGCCCTCTTGGAGCAGAAGCTTCGCCGGAAAGATCAAGGCGGTCTTTGGAAAGGCGGCGGAGTCCGAGCAGATCGGAAAGGCGAGAAGGGCCGCGGAAAAGGGTCGAAGAACCAGGAGGACACAGCCAAGGGTCGGGGAAAGACCGACTCAAAGGACAAGTGAAGTCACCGCCACTGGCGAGCGAAGCACCCCCTGATGGGGATTGGAGAGAGAGGCTGAAGATGTTTGGTAGCAAGCCTCGGAGTGCCCTGGAGACATTGTCACAGGTCTGGCACAACCTCCCGTCGATGGACACGGCTTTGGGAGCTTTGGTTCATGCTATGCGAGAGCCAGGGGTGCCGCCCGATGACAAGGCAAGAGCAGCCAGAGGTGCTGATTTGCTCCCTTTGAACGTGGAGGTTGTTGAGATCTTTGTTGAGGCCGAGCCGTTGGTGAAGGACGCTATGAAACTGTTGCTGTTGACTTTGAATTACCTGTCCATGGGTGGCAGAGTCAATCGAAAATTGGACTTGAGAATCCCTGAGGAGTTGACAGATGGACAGAAGCTGATGTTGGAGCATCTGCTCGAGCGCACGGTGGACCTTGGCGAGGAGGCTCTCCTATGTCCTCCACTTAGTGAAGGGCGGTTGCTGTTGGGAAAGGCAAGATTTGATTATGCAGGAGAGCCCATTCAGCCGTTAGAGATGCTTGAGGCCGATAAGGTTATAGCGGTCTGGCCCAAGGTTGGGGAGTGCGCAGTGCAGTCGGTGATGGACTTCATCCCAAGTGATTTAGCAGAAATGCTTGAGGAGCCCCGCAATTGCCTGAAACCGGAATGGGAATGGCCTGAGCGGCCTCGTCGGAGCAGAGTTATGGCGACCCAAGATGAGTGGGATAAGATAGTTTCAGCAGCATATGCCCGGGGCTTGATGGTTGGAGTCGAGGAGGATCAGGTGTTCTGCGACAGCAGAGGAAACAAGGTCCTCAATGGAGCTGGAGGAGTAAAGAAGGTGAAGATGGTAGGTGGAGAAGAGAGAATCTGCCAGCGTTTTATTTCAAACTTGATCCCATCGAATGATTTCCAGGTGCACCTCAGCGGCGGAGACAAGTTCCTGCCCTATCTGGGGCAGCTGTCACTTTTCCAGTTGGCTGACCACGAGGTTTTCCTGGTTGACTCAGAGGATTTTTCGAGTTGCTTCAACCTCTTCACCCTTCCAGCTTGTTGGAGACCCTTCATGTGTTTTGAGAAGACGGTTGATGGAGGGCTGCTTGGACTTACCCCGGGAACCCGGGTGTACCCGTCTATGGCAGTAGTGCCAATGGGGTGGTTGAATGCTGTGTCGACCATACAGTCTGTGGTGCGCAGTTTGGTGTTTGACGGGGCAGAGATCCCTGAAGATAGCGAGGTGGCAAAGATCAAGAAATTGCCATCAACTGACGATCTCACTGTGATATACCTGGACTCTTATGATGAGGTTCGCCGCCTTGACAGGCAATGTGCAGAGATTCTGGAGGGGCAAGCATCTGCCCGTCACCTCCGTTTCAAAGCTCTATGTGAAAAGAAGGGCCTGCCACTCAATGAGGCCAAACGGGTGATAGGCGCCACCCGGGGTACCCTGCAGGGTGGAATCCTTGATGGCGACAAGGGATGGTATAAGCTCGAGAGCAAGAAGCAGGTGGACCTTGTCGGGTTAGGCGCAAGCATGCTTACCCTGCCGAAGTGGCGGGAGTTTGAGATTCGCCATTTTGTGGGGAAAGCCACATTTGGCTGCTGCTTCAGAAGACCACTCCTCAGCATCATGGAGGGCATCTTTGAGGACTTGCGTGAAGTCATGAAGGAGGGGCCCTTGGTGCCGTCAAGTGAGGCGATAGATGAGGTCATTATGCTGATGGCTTCTACGTGCTTGATGGGATCCTCCCTCCGACTCAAGCTGGACGCAGAGATCAGCTGCTCTGACGCATCCCCGACAGGGGGCGGGGGGGCTGTGGCCACCCAATTCATGCCAGAGCCGTTTACGGTTGATCACAATGGTGAGGAGTGCTGGAACTGCGATCAGCATTTTAGATGTGAGCAGCGTTACCCCTGCCCAGCAGGGTGTAAAGCCGTGTTCTGTGGCCTGGAGTGCATGTGGGCGCACCGTGATCCAGCCAGCCGGCATCACGTGAGGGCTTGTGTCAGGGGAGACTGGCATCCACCCAAGTTTGGGGAAAGGTTCGCGGGACCACACGCGCCCCTTACACATGCTGTTGCGCAGGTGGGCGGAGTTGAAGTTCAACGTCCTTTTGATGTCCTCACTGGTGACGATTTCTTCACCGATGCTGGCCGCAAGGTCTTGGAGGAGTTGGGGAACGATCCCTGGCTCTACTGCGAGCACTGGGCCCCTGAGTGCCGCTTATTTACCAGGGCTCGGGGAAAGCCGATACGGCTCCGTGATGGAAGGGTGATTCCCGGGCCGCAGCCTGTCAGGGATTCAAGGCACCTTATGGGATTTCCGCACTTGGAGCTGAGATGAAGGCGAGACTGCGGAAGTCCAACAACATGGCCCTGAAGGCTTTGACAGAGGTGCCTCGCCATTGGACCTGTGAGCACCCATACAACAGCTGGCTCTGGGAATTCACCTTGGTGAAAAAGCTGGAAGAAGCTGGTTTTCAGCACGCAGCAGGGTCTAGTTGTTGCTTTGGAGGCCTTCGTGAGAAGTGGTACTCCTTCTTTGTGTCGTCAGATGAGATACGGTCCCGGTTGGAGAGACCTTGCCCAGGTCACACAGGCCTACTTACCTATGAAGTTGAGGAACGCAGTGATGGCTCCCTGCACTACCCTACTTCTGAGGAGGCAGAGTATCCATGGGCTCTCTGCAAAGAATATGCCAGGGGCTTGAAGGCTCAGATTCAGAAAGAGCGGGTCCCTCAGCAGGTCCACCAAGAAGCCCGCGAAGGGTGGTACCTCAGGCAGCTGATGAAGAGCACTGCCCGGCTACAGAATGAGGATTTGGGCAAGGCTATGGCCCGCTACCTGACCCGCTGGGAGTCGGAGATGCGAGCCGGTGAGGAGATGCATCATCTCATCGATCTGCTGCATTCAAGTTCGATGCGAGGAACCGACATCAGGTTTCATATGAGCCTCGGAGCGGACCACCAGCCCGAGGAGGTTCCTTACCCAGCTATGCGCTGGCGGTGGCACACTGTTACTGCATACCCATGGAAGCAGGAGGCCCATATCAACGAATTGGAGCTCAACGCCATGGTCGTCATGAGCAAGCACAGGGGCAGATCAGTGGCCAAGTTTCACACCAGGTGGATGCACGTTCTGGATAGCATGGTCAGTCGAGGAGCAATTGCAAAAGGACGATCTTCAAGTCGGAGACTCAACAAGGCCTTGAAGAAGCACGCAGCAGCCGTATTGGCCCAGAACAGTTACTGTTTTCCACTTTGGACAATCAGTCAGTGGAATTTCAGTGACAAAGCTTCCCGTCGTCATGGGTAAGCGCCTACATCTCCGGTACGTCGGGTTGGAGTCCCACACTTTGCGTGCCTATCGGCTGGCCTTGCAAAACTTCTTGCACTTTGCAAAGAAGAAGAGTCTCAAATTCTCATCGTCCAAGCTCCTTGACCGTGCCATGAGTGAATTCATTAATGAATCGTTTCAGGAAGGTGACCCCATTTCGTATTCAGGTCACCTGCTTTCCGCAGTGAAGCGGTTTCACCCGGAATTCAAAATGAAACTTCCGGTGTCGTCGCAACTATATCGCAATTGGGTGCGAGCTTATACACCCAAGCGGGCTGTTCCCGCCTCGTGGGATTTGGTGGAAGCCATGATTGCCGTTAGCTATCAGCAACGCAATCCACCTTTGGGACTGCTGTTGGGGTTGGCTTTCCATTGTATGCTACGTACCTCAGAGATGCTGCAGCTTACCCATGCCCATGTCATGGTGCACCAGTCAGCGCAGGCGTTGAGCGTCGTGCTCCCCTCTGCTAAGACCTCTATGGGCAATGCCCAAGTGCTTCAGGTGGAGGACGCTCAGTTGGTTCGTATGGCCAAGGCCATCATCAAAGCCAAGCGCAAGACAACGTTACTGTGGCCCCATGGCTCTTCAAAATTTCGAGAGATGTTCCAATCCCTTTTGAAGACTCTTGGATTTGAGGCTGGCAGTTACCTCCCTTACTCACTTCGACGAGGGGGAGCGACCTGGTATTACCAGGCTACCCTGTCATTGGACGCGACAGTGGTGCGCGGCAGATGGAGCTGCTCCAAAACAGCCAGGACCTACATAGATTCTGGGACATTGCAACTGGCCCACTTGTCCTGGACGCCTAAACAGGCACAGCTCGTCCGCAAATGGCGGCAACGAGGAATCCGGTTGCGGCTTCGCCAGTAGAAAAAGGCAGCGCTGGTCATGACTGTGGCGCTAAATACCTACTACATTTACTTCTGAGTTTTGGGATTTAATTTTCGGGGTTCTTTAACTCCACAAACTCTTTGGCCTTTTTAGGTTTGGATTGACTGAGGCCTTCATTAAGGCTAGATTACCTTCTTTAGGGTAAAATCTTGGTACCTTCCTTAAGGTGCGGTTTACCTTCTTTAAGGTAACATGCTTTATATGTTCCCCGGTGTCTGTTACCAACTAAAAGTTGAGTTGACTGAAAGGTCAAAACCTAACCGGATACGGCCTATTTTCCAGTTCTTGTTTTCAGGTGTGTCTAAGAGCACGCCTCAGTCAATAGCAACCACGCGGCACCCTGAAAAATGGAGTGTGCCAATGATATTAATTTGAGTGGTGTTGAACGAAACTGGTAACGTAGTGATAAGGGGAGTGAACAACGATGATATATCATTGTTGCTCCATGTGCAGCCTTTTACTCTCCCCCCCGCTACCTGGCCCTTTCTTTACCATCCTTTGTGATGTGGTTTTCTTTGCCAGGCTGGGTTCTTAAACCACTGAGGCCTTCATTAAGGCTAGATTACCTTCTTTAGGGTAAAATCTTGGTACCTTCCTTAAGGTGCGGTTTACCTTCTTTAAGGTAACATGCTTTATATGTTCCCCGGTGTCTGTTACCAACTAAAAGTTGAGTTGACTGAAAGGTCAAAACCTAACCGGATACGGCCTATTTTCCAGTTCTTGTTTTCAGGTGTGTCTAAGAGCACGCCTCAGTCAATAGCAACCACGCGGCACCCTGAAAAATGGAGTGTGCCAATGATATATATATATATATATATGTATGTATGTATGTTTGGATACACATATTTGCAGTTTTATTTCTTTCTTCCTATATTTCTCTCTTTGAACCATGACATTTAGTTGTTTTTTGTGGTTGATGCTCCTATCGGGCCCAGGTTTAATGATGTTTGACAGTTTTTTTTGTGATTTGGGAAACCCTAAGAAGCAATCCAGTTGGAGGGCGCCAGCATCGCGTCGCTGGGAGTTGATAGGTGGTTCATGATTGCCATAGATTGCTGGGGGTATAACTCGGTATAACCCATTTATATCTGGGTGATACGATGCTTATCACCACCATCCGATCAGATTTGGTTTCCCTGGCTTGTCTCAAGGGTTGAGCAGCGAGGTTTCAACTGGTATCATTCACTTCGTGGTGAAGGGACCCGCTTCATTCAGGTGGCTTTTTGGGCAGTTCCCCTGCGGAAAATGGCAATTTTTTGATGGTAAGATGAGGATCAACTGATTTACCAGTGGATTTATTGGGGGCATACCATTGTACACCATTTTTTTCGAAGAAACCCACGACATGATCGTGTCGATGGCTGGTTGCTGAAGATTCAGACCTTGAAAGGGTACCCAACCCTGACCGACACCCCACATGTTTCGGGTCGGGATCTTGCAGCCTTGCTCCACTGGCAGATTGGCAACATGTTCTCTGGACTGTACCTGCCCATGAAGCTGCACAAGGTCAGGGGGCCATGCAAATGGCTTGGTGGTTGACTGAGGAGTTCAGTGTGATAAGCCCCCTCAACATGGAGGTTGATGAGTACCTACTTGCCAACAAATCCCCAGTGTTTCGAGTGATACGTCATCTGTAATGATGGGAGTTTTGACCGTGGCGGCATGTGGAATCTTTCGCATTCCACCGCAACGTATCTATCCCGTCCAAAAGTGAATTGTGACTACCATCCGGATGAGTAAGTCCCCAAACTGCGAGAATCCGAAGAGCTGAGATCAGTTGGGGGCCCGGTCAGTTGTCCGCACGGCACAGGAGAACTATGTCCATGAGATCATAAGGTGCGGTGAATGTGATTGGATGGGCAGCGAGTGGATATAGATGGGGAATGATTGGGAGTATGGTTGTAACGGGGTTTGGATAGAAGGGGCTCATGATTGCAATGGAGCCTTTCATTCTTCACAAACGGTCCAACTCTTCAAGGCCAAAGATCTAAGTCCATCTGGGGGAATGATCCAAATTTGTCCAACATGTCATGGTGATGAACATCATCCAAACTCGTCAAACCTTGGAGGTTTTGACTCCCAGAAGCTGCCAGGAAGCCCCTGATGGTGGACCTGACCACTGCGCGGCATGTGGTCCCAGCTGAAGCGAATTTCACCTGGATGATGTCTATTGGATGAAGATAGATCAAGAATTGTAGCTTACATTTCCAGCATTTCAGCAAGATCAATCAATGTCCCCAATTTTCGTAGAAGTGTAGATGTTTGGCAAGTGGAAATCCATTATTTATAGTATTTAGTATTTAGTTGGATTTTCCCAGCTATGCCATGTCTGGCACGTGTTCGGATCCAACAAGGCACGCAGCCGAAGCCTCTGGTCGAAGAAGACCCCGTTCCTGGAGGGACGATGAGTGCGCGATGATAGGATGGTCCCATTGGATAGTACTACTGGATGGTAACTGATATGAATGGGATGATGATGATGATGATGATGATGATGATGATGGGATTTAGTGAATTTAGTGGTTCGAAAAAGTGAAAAAGCCTAGGGCTTTTCCAAAGAAGCTACTGCTCTTGCGCTCAGCGACGCCAGCGAATGAGGTACTTGTTGACTCGGATTCGGAAGTACGGAGGACGAATGAAGGAGAAGCAGCAGCCATATCGTTGCAAGATATGCAAAAATTGTTTGGACCTGCAAGCAAGTTTCTGGTTCATGGCGTGTTTGGAAGCCCGAATGCCATCTTGGTTGCCCCCCTCTTTGGTTTTGGGCACAGTCACAGTCCCAAGGTCGCCAAGTTTGAGTTCACCTTTCTTGGTACTGAAAAGATAGCCCAACAGCCTATATATTGCTTGCCAAGTAGTGTACAGTGTAAAGTGGGAGGAGTTTTTTTTCAGTGATCTCCATATCTCTGTGAGAATTATGGATTTTTCAAGCTTCCTTGATGTTGCAACCTTTCAATCATTTAGGTGTCTCCCGAAAAGGGGAATCAACTTCAGCATTTCACCATTCCCAGATGGTGGCTTGCAGCTTCTCTGCCGCGCAGTGGCCTAGGAGATGGCTCCAGGGTTGTTGGAGTACGACGAGATTTTGGAGCCCGAAGTGAAGAGTTTGCACCCCTCCGCAGCGGCCGAGCCAGGCCGGTGGTGATGACTGAGCCGATTTATCGTTTTTGGACCATGTTTTCGGCCATCGAATTTGGATCATGTCATAAATTTCACCCAGCATTGGGGTGAACTGGGTTGGAGGGAGACCCGGAAATGCTTTTCGGATGCGGTTGAAGTTTAGATCCGCTGCTCAGGAAGCGGGAGACCAGAAGAAGAACTGATGGCAGCACTCACAGAAGAGGGCGGCATGGCGGAGCCAGCATGGCAATTCGAGCAGGAGCGGCAACCATCCGTTGGCACTCAAAATGTATGGCATATGTATGGCATCAGGGTTCAGTTGAGGAAAAAAATGGTTGGGAAACCTGTGAGCTTTGGGGTCTAAAAAAGTCTGGCTGGTTCCCACGCTTCGGGGTCCTACATGGGACCGTGCCGAATCGAAAGTTGCTGGAAATCAGAATGCTGGCCATGTAGCAGACCAGATTTGCAAGACATTGGCAGGATGAATTGGCAGGTGCTGGCATGGTCAGTTTCTCAACTATGGCAAAAACATGCAAAAACTGTCAGGGCACTGCAGCAATTACTCTGAACTTCCATATGATCTAGATAGATTGACTGATCCAGAGACCAAGTGTAAACTTCGAAATGAATCCGAAAATCTCACTTCACTTAGAGGTTTGGGTGGTTAACAGGCATAAACAACTGCCACTTCAAAATAGCTGTATGGGTGTCCCATGGGTGTCTGGAAATGGTGAGAAACACCTGGAGTGCTGGTCGCTGGGAGCCGAGGTGCCGACAGAAGGTCCTCATGCGGAGGTTTCTGACAGAGATTTTGGATGGGGCCAAATGGATCCAAATGGGTGACGCAGAGAAATTCAGCACACAAGTTGCTCTTTCAAACTTCCTTTTTCATCCTTTTTCACATTTTCTATGATGGTTATAGGATATAATTCTCTGATCTTTGATGCGGACTTCGGACTTGGTTATGCTTTTTGAGGCGTCAAGGTTTGCTGCCTCGTGGCAGGTAAGTCCAGCGAAGCTTCACTTTCAAGCTGATGTGAAGAGGCCCCATAGAGAGGAAGACCTTTGATACTGGCAGTTGTCGAAGATATGACCTGGGAATCCCAATTCATCGACCATAAACAGATGGATTTTCCACATTCACTGTTGTTGAAGCAAGAATAAACTATTCCCGAAGTTACCAACCTTTTTTGGGTGGTATACACCATAAACAGATGGATGTTTTTTCCCATGGCTGCGAAGGCAATCTGCACAGATGCTTCGGCTCCGGAACACCGGCACAGCAGTCGTGCAGCCACTGGGCCCTGATCAAAAATGTTCAGGCGGATGGATACAGAGATATGACCAGCCAGTTTTTTTTCAACTGTTAATGGATCTCTTGGATCTCAATTTCTTATGATAATGGATATAAACAATAAATGGATATAGTCGAGTGGATATTGTTGGACATGGTGATATTTTTTTGGGATGTGTTGGAGGGTTTTGATGGGATAACGATATAGCCAGCCAACAATTTGGGGCTGTGTAAAGTACAGAAAACTGGGGTACTCTTCAAACGGGAAAGATGCTGATCAACCGGGGGATTCTTCAAACGGGTATCCTACTTTCAGACAAACCCAATATAGTCTCGAGAAAGATGAGTCGACAAGAATGTGTGACGGGGGGAAAGGTAGCAAACGCTACCGGATTCTTGATATGACATCCGAGCATGCATTTTTGGGCTGACTTTTGGATACAGCAACACCTGAAAAGATAGAACAGTTAAATCCTACTCAAAAGAGCAGAAGTTACTTTTCTATCTTTCTGGGTGTTAATATGTATAGATATTTGATACCTCCATTGAAGAATGCCCCCACCGGTGCGTGGCTGCGCTTGAGGTTTGAGTGGGTGCAGAACTTGCCGGAGCAGAGCTTTCAGGCTGTCCGCGTCGAACAAATTGGGCCCAGAAGAGGATGTTCCTTTTGGATATAGCAATTTTTAGATTCCATGTAAAATGTAAGGAGTGCAGCCAACAACAAGAGGCATTGATCCTTTGACATATTGACCGGATGAAAAAGATCCAGGAACATGGGGATGTAAACAGCACAAAGTTTGAATTCTACCGACAAAACTGCAGATGGAACCAAAACAAAACAGCATCTCAAGAAAAATATCTCCCTGAGATTATTTTTAAGCATTGCCTGTGCACAAAGTCAAACATCATGAGGATCTGACACCAATCGCAGCAAAACTGATATTTCGAACTGAACCATTGGTCCTTCTTTGAAATCCAAGTGGCTCCCTTCAAAAATCCATGGCATTTTCTCAAGATGGACAGAAGTGGTGCAGGAGTCAATCCTACCGCAAGATGGTACTCCGTACTTCACCTGTCATCAAACTTCTGGGCCAAGGGAACCCAGTTTCCAACCCCTGCAGATCCGGAGGGATTTTTTCGCAGAAACTCTGCGTTGTTCATGGCAAAATGGGATTTTTCAGGACTCCAACAGTTTCCCAAGGCATATTTTGAGGAAAGGTGGCAAAGGGATATTTCAATATTTCAGAAGATTTCTTTTCATGGGGGGCAGCATCTTGACATGTGAGTGGATTGGAATCGGAGTCGCATCATATTCTCCCACGAAAAAGGCATTTCGACGACCGAGGCGCATCCTTCCGGGTGAAGTTGTTTGGGTGGCCCAGACGGGTGACCATCATGGTGATGTCACCAATTTTTTGTTGGTGAATGTTGTGGAAAAAACAGCCATGGTGCAGCTCTCAGGTGCAGACCATGTTTTCCTTCACCGCGGACAAACCGGGGACCTTCACATCATCTTGGTGCTGTCCTCAGTGGAGGAAAGTTTCAGCCAACGTCTCCACTTTTCTTCAGAATCCTCGAGAAACCATGATTACCCTTAGATAATCAAACGGCAAGGGACCATCCCTGGTTTATAGATGTTTTTCATTGCCATGTTTGATTACCGGAAGGGACTTGTGTTGAGAGAGATACTTTGTTGGCTGGGCAATGCCCACGTTAAAACATGTGAGAGTGAACTGCATCCATGTGACGAACTGAATGATAACCCGCATACCTAATGATATTCAATTACTAGACCATATAATCATCCCCAAAAAGAAAGAACAGTAAATCCCCATCAAAGTAGTGAAGATTCACTTTGCTATCTTTTTTGGCGATTATAAATGGAAAGATGTTGGTGTCTTGATCAGGTGCTTGAAGACCTACCCTGAGCTCAAGGCCAGGCACTTCCGTCTGCTTCCAGAGGTCCCAATTTGTTGAAAACACCCCTGGCTTGCTGCATGTTGCTGCCAGATCTCAAGTGTTTTCCGGCTGTCTATGCATTTAAGTTCCCCTTTTTGGCTCATCAAGGTTTCAAGCTACAGTACCCTCTGGTTATTCAACATAAGTGTGGAACATGGCTCATTTTAATAGATGATAGCCATGGGCCATGATGATTTCGACCGGCACAAAGTCCCTATTTTCCAAGTGATCTCTGGGAGGAACCCATCACTCAACTGGCGATGAATGCCTCCGCAACTCTGGGTGTCGGCTCCTTGAGCAGGGAATACTTTGGCATATTGCCTGGGGCAAGATGATCTGTGAAGTAGGATACGAGTCTATATTATATATATAATGTATGTAATGTATATTTATATAATAATGTCTATTTATTACAATGTATATAGATACAATGTGTATATATATATAGGTATATACACATGTACATGATATGTAAGGATTATTCCAATCAACAGATGGTATGGGGCTTGATGAATCGTGGTTCTCTGAGGATCTTCACTGGGAGAGGAGATCCGCACTGCAGGAATTCATCAAGAAGGAGCAGGCACGCCTCAGTCATCCAGAAGCTGACGTGCAGTGGGTTTCTGAAAAGTAGATGTTGGTGTACTGTATCAGGTGTGAACATTGGTTCGAACCTTGTTCTACTGTCTCAATGGAATCAACCAAGTAACAATACACAACCGGAATCTGCTATAGGTTTTGGACACTGCTCATGTGAAACCTGGGGAAGAGGTATTTCCAACATTGGAGAGCGCCCAATGCTCGTTAAAACACAGATGGGCTGCCGATTTGAGTGGTACGATGATTGGGGGTCCACCGCGTTGATGTGTTGACTGTACTTACTATGCCTACATGTTTTTCGACTTTACAACATGGCGTACACAAATCCAGTGCTTCATCATCACTTTCCCCATTAATATTGGGATATATTGGGGATATATACAAATATATATATATATAATTATATATATATATGTACACATACCTCATTCTCGTAGAACTCCACGTACGCCATGTATCAAAAGCTTGTGCCCCATTGGGAACGGCTGATCCCACTGAGACCATCAGCCTCGCCTCCGAACTTGCTGAAGACATTGTGGAAGCCGTGGGGCGCCCTTGGGCGCATTTCCACCCTGGTGGGGCGGAACATCATCTCATCCAATCCAATTCTCCCATGGCTTTCCATGTGAAGTGTATATAAGATATATCAGTACTGAAGACCCAATAAGGCCGCTGGTTCCTGAGGTCCGGCTTCAACCGCCTCCTCTTCCACCTTTGAGCGAGCCAGCAGTGCAGGAGCTGCTTGCTGCTTCCCCATAACCTGGGGGAGTGCAACGATACGGGTACTCCAAGCCCAGATTTGCTGTGGATTTCACCCATTTTCATTGGCCATGTCCACACCACATCCTCAATTTCTAAGTTTCAATGAGTTTTATACCAATTTTGGTTGCTAAACATCCAGTATTTCACATTTTTCGGGTAGGCTGACCTCATATTGTAGAGCTTTGCACACCGGCGATGCCATAAGGGTTATGTATAGTAGTGTGAGCGTTGGTGTTGTTCATGTGCTCTGCGCGTGTGCGCAGGTGCAGAGCACAGTGTGATGTTCTTTTCATACCGCAGCTTGTAACCATCTTACCACACATTTTTTTGTCGCATTTTTGTGCTTCTTCTTCTTCTTGTTGTTGTTGTTGTTGTCGTCGTCGTCGTCGTCGTCGTCATCGTTGTTGTCGTCGTCGTCGTCGTCGTCACTCCTGCAGTTTTTTTCTCAGTCTCGTAGTGGCCGACAATCGTCAAATAGGTTGTGTTTCCACATTTTTGTGACACGTAAATACCGATGTTCTTTGCGCCGCGGAAACCCAAAACCACGGTATTTACCTTGCTTTTTTTTTGCCTCTGGTAGCAAACATCATGGTAGTTACAGTGTTTTTTGGCCAGTGCCCAGCAAAAACATTGGTATTTACGCAGTTTTCACCATGTTGCAAGAAGTACTTTTTCCATGCCAAAGGCACAAAAACACTGTGTTTTGGCTCTTGGCACGCACCGAAAAAACAGCAAAAAGTGCCCAACATGGCCTCCAAAAAGCATCTTGTAATTTTATCATCTTTTTTTGACCCCCAAAAACGGCAAAACACAGCGGAACTGAAGGATTTTGGGATAAGTTCGGCGGGAGGGCATGCTAAAGCTAGGCTGCAAACTACCACACAAACAGCAGCATCGCCGGATTTTTTGGGTCACCATAGCCAGACCCCCAGGAACGTCTCTTCGAAGAGGTCAACGCAGCGGACGGCCTCTTCTGGTCGTGGGGGAAGCTCAAGGAGATCGAGAGATGTGGGCCATGCCCAAGGCTGAAAAAATGGGGTAGTACCCCCTAAATAAACTGGATATTTCAAGGTTTTCAAGGGAAAATCTATGGACAAAATTACCATTCTGAATAGGTAAAGTATCAAAATCATGATAAATCATCGATTTCTGTCGGTTAGGCTTCCATGGCGATGCGAAATAACCAGAGGGTACCCCCTAAATCAACGGGGTGACCATCACTTTCCCATTAAAGATTGCAGATCATTTGGGGGTTAAATCCATGTGAATCCCACATTTTCAGACACATCCAGTAGTTTTCGGATGATGTTGGTCAGTTTTCATTTTTGCTGGTGATATTGGTAATCAACCATGCTTGCTGGAGAATCCTCCATTCATAGATGAATTTTCCCATTGGAACCTCCATTTAGCTTTTGCTAAACTAACATAGCTATGGCACATCACAATTTTTAATGGGTAAATCAACTATAAATGGGCCATTTTCAATAGCTATGTTAAATTACCAGAGGGTAAGGGGGATGTCCCAATGGTAGCGTTTGATTACCGGCTTTATTTTTGCAAATGGATCGAGGCCTCAGACCTGGGACACGCTGAGCGCCTTAAGAGAGCAGGTTCCGATGAGAAACTGGGGGGATGGAGGGGGTAGACATGGGAAAACATGGGCAAAGTGGGGAAAACATTTGGAAAAATGGTAAAACAAAGGGGACAGTTGGGAAAAAAAAGGGGAAACATGGGGGTTAGTGAGCTGAAGTTTGGCAATAACAAACAAACAAAACCGTGGACATTGATCGACAGAATTGGGATTGAACCGCAAGGAATGATTTGAAGCGACCAGACAGTGGATTTCACCAAGCGAAGACTTGGGATTCGAACCACTCAAAATGGTGAGTGATCCCTTGACCCAAATATCCATTCTCTTCCTTGGATTCTCAAGGTCCCCTAGAGCGGGTCCATGGTGTCACCTTTGGCAAAAGGTTGAGAGCATGGTGCCAGCGCGAAAACAAACAGATGAAGGCCGGGTTGGAAGGCTTCAACGGGTACAGCTCCAAGTCGATTTTGCTGACATTGAGCTGATCGATGGTTGGAGGCTAAGGTATAAGGAGGGTCCCCAAGTAGGCAATCCGTTTCAGAGGAAAAATGCTGTTCTGTACAAATGCTGCAAAGCAAACACATATTTAGGAACGCCCAACAATTTACATAATTCACATACATCACCCAGAGATACACATCCATCATATCATATCTATGTTTTTCTTACTGGTGTTTAGCAGGGAATTTTCGGGAATGATCCATAATCACTAGTAATAATCATCCCAGCAACCCCCATTGCCATCCATTCCCTGCTAAGCATCCAGGCGCCAAGATTCCCACTTTCGTGCCGCGACCGGGACGTGGTCACGCGCCCAAGCCCAAGGCCGGTGTTTTTTTGGGGGAAAGGTCATGATGGTAATGTGGTAAAGCCAATAATGTGGGTAAAACAATGCATTTGGGGATGGTTTATACCACCTATAAAAATGGTGATTTGGGGGATGGTTTATTATTGTTTTACCCACATCAAACATGGGGTATAGTATAATATTGTTCATGGTGATAGTGAGATACTGTTAGTGCTGGAGATAGTGGGATAATGGATGATGATTAGTAGTAAATTGATGGAATCATTTTTATAGTGCAATTTGATGGGATTAGACCGGTTACATCACATTATTGGATTATGTCAACCAATGTCCTTTTCCCATTGGTTGGTTGATTAATAAAGGGGTCTCCCATTTTTCACAATCAGTAGGTACATGATAATGAAAGGTATACCAACCGACTTGATTGATAGGGATTCCCCGTTAATGGATTAGGATAATCCCAACATTTTGGGTAGTACAATCTAATCACCAACCAACAGGGGTATTGAATCTCTGGATTCAAACCAATCAACCATCGAATTCCCAGTTAACAAGTGAGCAGTGTTCAAAATCCGGTTGGCTGATGATTCGTTCGGGGGTGATTCTAACTAAAATATTGGGAATTGCCACAATCCATACTATGAAGGGCTTATAATCCCCTATGGGTTACCAAAATCCATTAATACTGTGGATGGTTGCGAAATCCTGCACCACCAAAAGGATGGTTGAAACCCTAGTAATAATGGGATAAACCATATATCAACTGGTGCAGGATTTCGCAACCATCCATTAGTATCTCGGATATCACATTCCAGCGGGAAATCCTTAGCAGGTGGAGCCCCCCTCCGCCGCGGAGCCCTTGCCGCCTTTGGAGTCCCTGGGTGTGCCGTCCATCAGCAGGCGCTTTTTTGACCTATCGATTTTTTAGCACAGTGGGATGAAATTCAAGGCCCCAAAGACACGGTGGAGATCTCCCAAAATGGCTACCCTCTGGTGAACTAACATAGCAATGGAAAATGGCTATTTATAGTGGATTTTCCCATTAAAAATGGTGATTTTCCATTGCTATGTTAGTTCACCAGAGGGTATTCACATCCATTTTAACCCAGCTATTTTGATGTGAACAGAAGGGGTACTCGTGGAATTTTACCGTCAGTGTGGTGATTCCAGTGACTTCAAGCTGCTGTTTTGCTGAAAACGCGACCTCTATCAATCAGATCCCAATTTTTGTGGTTTATAGACCTCCATTTTCCTTGCTTCACCTCCCATGTTTGTAGCTTTGATCTAACTTTCCCTGACCGAATTCACAGTGTTGTGTCTCAAATTTAGGCAAACATCTCCGCCAATATCATCATTTTCGTAATGAAAAACTATGATCAACAATTGGATTTTGACAAGCCAGGGGATCAACCGTTGGATGATGATCAACCTTAGGCAGGGGTTGGTAACTATCCCATTTTGGGTATATAAAGGACATCACCTTATAAAAAGTAGCCATTTGGTTGACCATTAATACCATTCATGGTTGGGTGATGTGACCCATGGGGACATCAGTCATGACCCATGTTAGGCAATGATAATGATCAACCGTATGGATCTTGGGGGTAAAATGCCGCAGGATGCGGCAACAGCTCGATCAGTTGCCGGGCACGGAGCCTGGCGTTGGGGCCTCCCAGTGGGGATGGAGGAACCTGGGAACCCGTAAGAGATGGTGAGATTAACTAATAAACCAGAATACTTTTAAGAGTTCATATCAAACAAGATATGGGTAACTAATCAAGATATCTAGCTGAAAGACGGCATACCAACATTTTTGAATGGTGGTGTATATGTGTATCTTTTGATGTTTATTTTGAAACACAATTAAACATCATACATACTTACCAATCTAAACAATCGTGATCATGGAGATTGAAATGGATTCTCGTTTTGAGTACCGCCGTGATTGTACCTAGTACCTACAACTAGTAACTAGAGAGAGAGAGAGAGAGATGGAGATCTTATGAGATCTTAATGAATCAAAATGGTGATTTGCTTGACCGGAACTAATCATGAGAAACAACAACTTGGATGCTTGTTTCACGTGAAGTAATTATATCCCGTTGCCATGGTGAATTTGACCAACCGAAAAGGGATTTACGATCAACAGCAGTGGCGACATGACTAAGACTGGTGTAAACCAGGTTGGTGCATTGCCAACAACAGGTAATATGTTGTTTTTTTTTTTACTTGGCAGCTCATGTGCCAACCATTTTTGGTGATATGTTGGTGATATGCTGCAGTCGGATCTCCCAAGGCTGAAAAACCAGCGGAGAAGTTCGAGGTCATGCGGAAGCTTGAACGCGCTGGTCGAACTGCTAGGCCGGATTTCGTGGACTATGTGGACTTGGTGACTTCACTTGTCCAACTGCTGGGGGGAAACTGAGGTCTAACCTGGAAACCTGGAGTTTTTTGGATGTTGATGGGACAGATGTTAGATGCGGGATTTTTTCACAGTACATGCATGGTAAATCACTATACATAGTAATATATATATATATATACACAGATATGGGTATGAGTCAAAACCCTTGTACCCCTAGTGAACCCTAAAATAGCTGGTAAATGGATGTTCATCCCCCAAAAAATGTAGTTATAGGTATTGATACATCTCTATCCTATGAAACACATAGCTACGCACGATTTCATGATTTGTGTCATTGTGCCTGGTCCATTGCCACAGGCAGTGCCCATTGGAGCGTTCACCGGTGTGGTGGATGGCCTACGAGTCCGTAGCCTCAGATGGAACTTGCGGATGGCTGGGTGAGTTGATGTCATCACCTGGGGGTGGGTCAAAACCTATTAATACCATTTTTAGGGGAATGAACATCCATTTACCAGCTATTTTGATGTTCACCAGGGGTACCAGGGTTTTGACACACTGCCACCTGACTGATCAAAACTGGAGCCCATCGAAAGTATCGAAAGTGCGGGAGTCGATTCCCATGGATGATTGAAGTCATGTTTCCAGCAACTGGAGCTGCTAACTCGTGGAACATCATAGATAATCATCTACTTGTAGAAATCCTGGATTTTGCCATCCAGGATAGAGGATAACTTTTAAGCCATACAGCCAAGATCCATCCTTGATCATTAATCATTAACCATAGTCATTCATGAATCCACCATCATTAACCACAGCTAAGACTGCTAAGAATATCATCCGCTTGAATCATTGAATCGCCCCATAGGACGGTCATGGAGATCGCCCTGACGGTGCCCAGCAAATGGGCCGCCACGCGGCAGCGCAACGGCCTGGAGCCAGTGCCCTTCCTGGCACCACCTGAGGCCTTTTGAATTGATCCAACGTGTGGGGAAACGGCCACGAAAAACGGGGGAAAACAAGGGGGTAATATACCCTGTGGTTATGACTAACAGGTAAACCATCTATAAATGGGATATTTTTATGGGATATTAATGGGAAATTCATGGGATTTTATAGTGATTCAATGGGATATTAATGGGTAATATACCCTCTGGTTATGACTAACATAGCCATGGTTTTTCGATGGCCCTAATCGAAATAGATTCGGGTTACCGTTCTTAATAGCATGGCGGATCTTTCAGTGGCGAAGTGTTAAATAACCAGATGGTACCATGAAAACATGGGGTAATCGACCACTTGATGATTCTTTATCTCGCCATTTTCGGGAACCCTGGATAATCTGCAGTGTTGGGAACCCTGAAGAATGAAGAAGAATGCAGGGGTTTTGAGCAACAAAATGGGGATATCATGGGAATTTGTGGGAGAACATGTGAATTCATTGTCGGCTATCCATCCACTTCTTGGGAGATGTAACCCTCCTTGGCGCTCCTTGGCTGTCGTGTGTACAGGATGATGCTTCTCCCGAAGAACTGGAGGAGTACAACCTCAAGCTGGAGGCCGGAGATCATCGAAGCACGGTTGAAATGGGGGTACGGTCACCTGTTTGGGCTATGGGTTATAGTTTGTGAACATTGAGTGGCCAAAAATGAGAGAGTTTGCCACCAAGAAAATGCCAATTTGTGACCCATGGGCCCATGGGCCCATGGCCATATCATGTGCTGTTTTTGTTTCTCGTGGCCTTGAGACACTGCAGCAGTGCAGCGGCAGGAAAGAAAGTCAAAGCTGGCGCCGGAGGAGAAGGAGGTCTGGATGACCTGTGTGAGATGATTTGAGTATGTACGGTCACAATTGGGTGCCGTTCAACTTAGTTACTGTAGTGAAAAAAAATCAGAACGACAAACATCATTTGAAAAAAAACTGTGGGTCTGTGAAGGGTCCAGAGATGTCCAGAGCTTTTTCCACCATCAACATGTGGAGAAACGGCAGGCTGAAGTTCGTGACATCTTCTGCCGCGGCTTCGCAAAGAACAAGCCACTTGCGACGCAAAGATGGCAGCCTGATCCCCCCGCTATGACCAGTTGGTACTACGGTATGCAGAAAATCCATGGAATTTATACTGAAATCTGGACCCGCCTTGAAGCCTCCACTCTGGACTCCAACTTGCTTGAAGAACTTTCGCACTTTCGCACCTCTCCAACCTCATTCTGATTTTTCTCTGTCAAATACCCTCTGGTAATTTAACATAGCTATAGAAAATGGCCATTTATAGCGGATTTTCCCATAAAAACTTGTGATTTTCCATAGTTATGTTAGTTTACCAGAGGGTACCATCCATTCTGGTTTCCCCCCTCTTCATCCACAACTCCAAGGTTTGGCCCGGCCTGTGGCAGGTTTGGTGCCCTTGCCTCAGAATTTGGCAGCGCCATGTTCATTGGACCGTCTAAGCAGAACAACTCTTGTCAGACCTTCAGTTCTTTTTTGCCCAGTGGATTTTGAGCCAAATCATCCGTTTTTAGACCACTGGATTTAGGCCAGAATCCGTGCCTGAATGTGCCTGTTCCCAGGCTGTGGCCAAGGAGGCCAGTCTGACCACCCGCATGACCCGCGCTGGCACCTTTTCGTTGGGAGATCGGCTCAGGTGGGGCGCCCAACAAATGGGATGCCAACTTGGGTGGCCATCCCTGAGGATGTTGAGATATCTATCTATTTATCCATCTATTATCTCATCTATCTATTTACTTTATTTGTTTATTTATTCAATTTGCTAATAAATTAGTGAACTGATATCTTTATATATTTGAATATCGTATGATGTAGCTATGGGTTGAAGTAACGTGTAACAAACACATATTCTTTCTGAGGTTATGCCAGGTATGGACAATGGTTACTCTCCGGGATAAATGTCCAAACAGATACAACAACTCTCTGGCACTTCGACAATTACTTGTCCACAATGTGTTTCTTGAGGTATCACCCTGAAACATTTCTGACAAGTAATCCCAAATTAAGCTGGTTTCTCCCCTGATTTTTCCAAGTAATTGGCTTCAGAAGCTGGGTAGCTTCGCGCTGAGGCCACACCTGGGTCGCCTGTCTTCGGAGGCCATCGAAATGGCCAGTAATGCACGGGGGCCTGGGCTGGCAGTGGAGCTAAATGGTCCGATTTTGTCAATGACATCCCCTCTTCACCCTGCAGCCCGAGGTTGTCCTGTACGAACTGGACATGGGGTGAGCCACTTGGGATTGCTGGGACTGCTCATATTTGTCCAAGAAATTTCAGGTGGAACATGAACAAATTGCATTCCCCAAAAGGATCTTCCCCCTTCCAAATCATCCAAATCATCCAAATCCAGTTTTTGGGGGTTCCATGGGGTGTCCGAATCCATTTTCTCTATGGATTCCATGGCGGATATCCCATGGGTTGCGCGATCCTGGGAGGTTCATGGTGCCGCCGCTGGCTGCAGATGGCGAGGCTGCGCATGAAATGGTCCAAATGGTCCATAACCATGGTCCGATGTCAATGATCCATGGGATATAATGGACATATCCATGGGATCCATGGCATCAATTATCCAAATGGTCCAAATGGTCCTTCTTACATGTTTATTATTGTTTGAAACAGTTTTTCCCATGGATTTTGGAATATGTTCGAATCATATCCTCATGACTATGACCCAACCCCTCGGATGCTGGAAGAAAACCAACTGACACCAGGAGCGTCCTTCGCTGATTCTGCAGGGTAGCGACTTGGAACTGCTGAAGCAACGGCTGCGAGGCGGGAAGATGTCAAAGATGCTACCTGCTTCCCTCATGTTTTTTTTCGTTCATAGGCTGCGCGGAGACCAGTTTCAGTTGGTGGAACTAGTCTGGAAGTATGTTGGTCCTCTGCCCATGCCTATTCTCAACTGACTGGGATTTCATCACCCATTCTTCATCGTTAACCAAAATCATACTTTGTCAATGACCATGATATAACCTTTCTTCATCCTTGATCCTGGTTAAGCATTCAGTTAACCATGGTTGTCCCTATAATCATGATGAACCACCCATTTGGTCCCACATTGATCCGCCCCGGTGTCGCCACGGTGTCCGCGCCTCGACAGGTGTGGTGTCGGTGCTGGAATCCGTGCCCCTGGCGGTGCTGGTGACGGTACACCTGGGCGAGCCAAAGCCGGACAAGTCGGGAAGCCTTGGGCATCTGAGTGGTTTCATGGGATGATGTGGGACCATGATTGCCAAGCATTTGTGATGATAAGCCCACATCAAAGAGGGTCATTTGGATCAACTAGCATAAGCCAATTTGGATGGGTAGCCAGCTGGATTTCTTACTTAGTTGGCTGTATCTTAGCTGGTTGGTGACACACACACATATATATAATCATATATACATATATACATGTATACATATATATATATATTGTGATTTTGGCCACATGAGATCATCCATTTCATCAGTGCTGACTTCTTGGGACACCTGTGGACACCATTGGACTCATGCATGACATGCAACCTCAACTCGCCGGTCTTGCCGTGCCACATGCATGGCTCTAGGTCGAGGTGGGTGGGATCGGGACTTTGAGTGGAAAAGGAAACAGACTGGCTTGCGGATAGACAGGGTGTCTAGGTGTAGGGCTGATATCCCCTATTGAATTCTCATTGGTAGCGGAGCTCAAGCTGCCGCAGGTAAAGCTCCAAATTCCCTAAGGTAGGCAGGGTGCCTTAAATAGGGGTTTTGTGCATCAGGGTTCCTAGGACCTCTCTCAAATTCAAAACATTGCAAGTCCAACAAACTGCACCAGCCTAAAGGAGGTCAAACACTGACCACGTGAGCCATGGATGGAACCGGAAACGGTGCCGAACCGGCCAGATCGGCCATACCTGCGGAAGCAGCGGGAACTAGCAGCCTTCCCGCGAGCCAGTTGCCGTGGCAGCAGATCCCCTCCTTCAATCCGCAGGAGACAGACATTCAGGTGTACAGCAGGAAACTGCAGTTTCTGAAGGCCATTTGGCCACCAGAACATGTGTCGCAATTGGCACCCAGAGCGGCCTTGCAGGTGGAAGGGGTGGCCTTTCAGAAAGTGGCTCGCCTTGACCCTCAGACTTTGCGGAGTGAAGGGGGAGTCCAATACCTGGTAGAGTCTTTGGGCGGCCAGTGGGGCAAATTAGCTAGTGAAGAGAAGCTGGCCTACTTCGAGAAGGCGATCTACCAGACAATCCAGCGAAGTGATGAAACGAATGACAGCTATCTGGCACGCCACGATGTGGCATTCGAAGACCTTGCATCTCACAAGGTGCCCATGGAGGAGATTCGAGCCTACGTGTTGCTGCGACAGTCACAGCTGAGCTCTGAGGATCGCAAACGCATCATCCTGGAGAACAAGGGTGACCTCTCCTACGAAAATGCTCGGAAAGCCCTTCGACTGTTGGGAGCCAAATTCTTCCAGGAGCTCCAAGGGGTGAAGCCGAACAAAAAGACCTATGACATCAACATCACCGATGGTGCATCAGAAGAGACAGCAATGGTTCTCTCGGAGAACGATGGCCGCGATGAGGACACCGTCTTCCAAGTCATGTATGATGAGGGAGATGAGGATGCAATCTTCATCAATGACTTTGAGGAGACGCTCATCGAAGTTGCTCAGGAGTCTCCAGAGCTTGCAAGCTGTTATGCAACGTACCTTGAGGCCAGAACAAGACTCAGGGAACGAGCACGAATCAGGGGCTTCTGGCCGATGAGTGGTCCAGGTGCCAGCAAGGGCAAGGGGAAGAAAGGAAAGATGGGGTCCAAGGGCACCAAGTTCCGATCTTTAGCAGATCGAATTGCCTCATCAGCCTGCAGGAAATGTGGACAATTTGGGCATTGGAAGCGTGAGTGCCCCCTCAACCTCACCAAGGGGGACAGCAAGGGCAAGGGCACCACGGAGACCATCTCCATCGCAGAGGCGCTCTTTGCCCATCCCGAAGATCAGGAGGATCAGATGCCTGCCATGGAGTTGATCGACGAGCTCCCAGAATCTGCCGAGGACTTAGGCACGTTAGGCCAAAACTCAGGGATTTTGACACCTCATGATGACTCAGGGGTTTGTGAAGTTGAGGATTGTTTCATGATTGACGGTGATGTTCAAAATTTTGAGGGGTCAAAATCAAATGGTTTGGCAGTATCAACAGGTACCTTGACAAAGTTTAAGTCTACCAATCAAGTTTTCAAGGGGTTGCTTCAAAGTGCTTTATCAAAATGCTGTAGGAAGCATGGACATGCCGTGAAGTTGGCACCGACCGCAGAGCCCACTCGAACTTCAGAGCCAGAAGACTCCGAAGACACCAGCCTGTTTTCTCCAGCCGTGATTTTAATGTCTGAAGAGTGTGCCGGAGAAGCCGTCATAGATACTGGTGCCAGTAGGTCAGTGATTGGCAGTGAAAGGGTCCAGGGCCTCTTAGAAGCTTTGTCTGGGAACGTTAGAACCCCCATTAAGAAGATGGCTTCATCGGTCAATTTTCGATTCGGCAACAGTGGCACACTTCAGAGTATGTACGCACTGTGCATTCCACGGCGCCAAAAGGGCTGGATCCGAGTGGAAGTTGTGCAGGGTCGCACCCCGTTCTTGGTATCTAATGCAATCATGAAAGAACTTGGAGTCATGATTGATCCCCGAAACAAGGTATTGAGATTCCTGGGAAATTCCAAAACAGTTGCCCTCAAAACTTGTAGGAAAAATCTGCTTTGCGTTGGGGTCGTTGATTTGCTGAACATACCAAGTAATGAGACTGATTGGAAACATGTAGAAGAGATTTATCAACAAGAGGTTAATCACAAGGAAGAGGGAGACATGACGAATGAAAAAGTAGAACGGTCCAATATCCCACCTCGAACATGCATGTCCACTCAATCTCAATTCATTGTACAGGATTCACCTCACGTAGAGTCATGTCACACCGCGATTTCTGCAAAAGTACAGGCTCAAGTTGAGCTGCCATCTACACCATCTCCGACCGACCAGAGTGTGCAAAGCAATGGGAAGCTCAAAGGAGATGAAGTCCTCATATCTGGTACAGGATCTGTCAGGGGACGAAGACCCAGGTCTCCAATCAGATCGAGTGTACATGGATGCACCCGATCGGCAGTACAAAGTCCCACCAGGGATCACGAATCTGCAGCAGTGGGGCGAGACCAAGATCCCCTCGGGAGTTCAACAGGGACAGACCTTTGCGGAGGTGTACAACAATCATCCCTGTTACATTTTCCAGATCCGAAACCGCAAAGCAGTGTCACCGTGGCTGAGGAATCTACAGAACTACGTGATTGCCCGGCAGAAGTACGAAACACTGAATCAGATTCCCATTCTGCCATCATCGGCAGGATCGGGGCAGTCATCGAAGTCACCGACAACCACTCGACCTTCGGTACCTCAGGGAAAGACCGAGACAGGGTGGGAAGTGATCACCAAGACAGGAGCATCGTCCGCCAATGCCAAGAAGACTCAGGCATCCAAGCGGACCACATCCGATTGGGAGCAGCCCAACAAGACCAAGATGACCGTGGAACAGAATGCCGAGCGAGTGCAACAGATCCAGACACAGATTGCCCTCCTTCAGAGGGAGCTGGCGCGAGAGACTCAGATTCCGGAGGAAGAGGACATCTGAAACGTGCACCAGCACTTCTGAGTGAGGCACAAGTTCAAGGGCTGCAGGCCCAGATTGATCAATTCGTTGGGGGGATCGAGAGAGACTTTAATCAAATCAGGCAAAAGGCCAATGTCTTGAAACCCCAAAAGCCCACTAACCAGAGTCGGCCTGTTGTTCTCTTAGAAGTATACTGTGAAAAGGAGTCCCAACTGACACAACAAATGAAAAGAATGGGAGGGATTGCACTTCGGTTTGCACGTTTGCATGGTGATCTGACAACCCCAGAAGGGATCAACAAACTCTGGTCTTGGGTAATGATGTATGAACCCGAACACATATGGGTTGCACCTGAGTGTAAGTTTTGGGGATCCTTCTCAAAGTTCAACATGGGTCGAAGTGTTACCACCAGAAACATGATCATGCAAGGTAGGCAAGGTGACATGTGCCATTTAGAATTGTGTAACCAACTTTATCTTTTCCAGGTCTCAAATGGACGTCACTTTCACTTGGAGCAACCCAGAGGGTCAGACATGATTAAGCAACCGCAGTTGTATGATGTCCATACAGGTACCCTTCCCGCATACTTCGACATGTGCCAAGCTGGTAAACTCCGGGGTCCCTACACAGACAAATTTTTGAGGAAACAAAGTCAAGTCCTTACCACAAGTAGGATAGTTCATGGACTGCTTCACAATCAACGATGTCCTAGGGATCATGAACATCAGCAGATCAAAGGGAGTGTAAAGGCACCAGGTGAACCTTGGGTGAAAGTATCTGCCTATGCTGCTGCCTATACTGCGGTTTTTGCACGAAAAGTGGTCCAGGGCATTATCAAGAGTTTGGGGATGGGAGAAAAACCTTTAATCCTCGAAGAATTGTTGGTTGGAGAAGAACTTTCAAAGGGGACCAAGCGACCAGTGGCACAAGAAGTTTTGGAAATGCGGCGGTGTCGGCGGCGACATGGGACAAAGAGTCCTCCGTTCCCTGAGGACATGGATGAAGATTCTTCAACTGGAGCTCATGTGGTGGATTGGAAAGGGGTAATCACCAGTTTTGAGAGGGATGTTCCAAGGGTTGGTGCGGCATACTTTTGGAGGGATGACCCCCGGGTTGTTCAACTTCAAGAGCAATATCCACAAATCAACATCCAATTTGTCCTCTTGTGTCGGGGCACCGAAAGGTACCGAGTTCCAAAGAATGACATCATTCGGGATGATATCCCCCTTCGTAAAACTGTGGTTGTCCATCGGCAAAGCGGTGAGGTCCAAGATTTGGGTGATTTTGAAGAATGGCAGCAACTCTCAAAGGCCAAACAGGTGAGAAAGGCAGTCCCTGCGAAGATTTCCATCAGTGTTTTTGGGAAAAGGTGTCTTTTGGATGTACCTGTTGTGGAATCTCAAGAAATGCCTGATGTTGAGATGCATGCGCCTATCACCCAACAAGAGGGATCCTCTGTTCCAAGTTCAATGACGGTTCTGGCCAATTCTCAACAGAAAACAGTAGAAGACAGCCAGCCCGAAGCAGAAGCGTTGGTTCCTGGATGGGCCCCGAAAATTGTTCCGAGGCATGGGCCCGCTTTTAGAGCACTTAGTGCACAGCAGAGAACCGATTTGGTCCGATTGCATCGTAATTTGGGCCATCCAGATCCAGCGAGACTGCAGCGTCTCCTCCTCGAACAGGGTGCCGAGCCAACTGTGGTGCAAGGTGCTCTAGACATGCAGTGTGATGTTTGTCTTGAAACCCAGAAGAAACCAAAGTTGCCTCACCCTTCATCGATTCATGATGATTTGGATTTCAACGATGTAGTAGGGGCTGATGGGGCTTACTGGAAGTCAAAGATGGGACAAACATTCCACTTTATGCATTTTATCGATGAGGGCACCCTTTTCCATCTTGGTGCACCAAGCGGCAGAACTGTTGAAGAGCAGATTAGGGTGTTTGAGGATGTTTGGCTGCATTGGGCTGGTCCGTGCAAAACGTTGTATCTTGATCCTGCTGGAGAGTATGTAAACCCCAAATGGAATGATCGGTTGCAGCAAGAAAACATCCAGGTAGTCATGGCTGCCGGGGAAAGCCACTGGCAAATTGGCAGGGCTGAGATACATGGTAGGATCATCAAGGATATGTTGACTCGTATGGACCAGGAAAACCCAATAAAGGATGGGGAAGAGTTTAAGCAGTGTTTGAGGCAAGCTTTTTCTGCAAAGAATTCCCTGTCAAGAGCCAAAGGCTTCACTCCAGAGCAGGCGCTGCTGGGCAAAGCCCGAGCTCTGCCGGCTTCGCTGACCGCCGACTCCCAGGCAGGAGCTCACCTCTTGGCTGAGAGCTCAACGCCAGAGGGAGTGCGTTTCAGAGCTAGTCTAGAGCGTAGGGAGCAGGCAAGGCGAGCCTTCATCAGGGCGGACAATGACAGCTCTTGCCGGCGTGCGCTCCTCCGGAGGAGTCGACCAGGAGCGGTCGAATTTGAAGCGGGAGACTGGGTCCTCTACTGGAAGAGGGTAAGGGGCAACATAAGACATGAGAGAGGCCGCTGGTATGGTCCGGCTCAGGTCATCACCATTGAGAAAGCCCGAGTTGTGTGGTTGAGTCATGGGGGATACCTGATTCGTGCCAGCCCCCAACATTTGAGGCCTGCATCCATGAGAGAGTATCATGCGTTACCTAGGGATGAGCATGGTCATGTAAGGGATGAACAGGTATCCACTAGGACTCGGAACTATGTAGAACTGGATGAATTTCCTCCAACTCTTGGTTCAAATGAAGGTGATGATGAATATGAGCCCTCTCTTGCCCCAACTCCCATCATTGACCTAGATAGCGAACAACCCGAAGATGAAGCTTCTCCCCCGGAAAGTCAGTTGGGTGGAAACCCCGAAATGGGAGACCCCGAAGTAAACAATCCAGATGGTGTACCTATAAGTGGGGATTTAGGGGGTCTCGGAGTTCCAGTACCAATGTCTGATGATGAGAATGATGACTCACTTGCTGTTTTCGGGGATGATTTAAAAGGACCACCAACAACTTCTGGGGTATGGGAAATCACTTTAATGGAGTCTCCTGAGATGCCTCTCGAAGAGGGTGTGGTAGATGGCAACTTGGCTGAATGCATTCTTGTAGCCACCGCCGCAAAGAAACAAAGGGTTGAAGTCCAATGGAAAACATTAGACCAAGCTGAGAGGGAGTTGTTTCGAAAGGCAAAGGCGAAGGAGGTACAGGCTTGGATTGACCATGGAACTGTAAGAAAACTAGCAAAAGGGGCTTTACCCGAAAATCGTATCATGCGGTGCAGGTGGATTTTGACCTGGAAAGATCCGTTGCCAGGCACGATAGAAAAACGTGCCAAGGCACGACTGGTGATTCTGGGATTTGAAGACCCAGACATCTCCTCAGTCCCGAATGATGCTCCAACGTTGAGCAAGGATGGAAAGCAGTTGATTTTGCAGAAGGTTGCAAGCTGTGGCTGGACTTTGATCAATTTTGATGTTTCAACAGCTTTTCTGAAAGGAGCCGGGGACGGGAGACCACTTGGGATACACCCACCACCTGAGATTGCAGCGGCCCTGAAAATGACAGCCATGGACCAGTGCGGTTTGGAAGGGGGAGCCTATGGGCGCATCGATGCACCCTATCTTTGGTATCAATCATTTAGGGAGACCCTGGAGAGTTTGGGGTTCATGGTTTGTCCACTGGATGGCTGTGTCTTCTCGCTTGTGACACAAGACTCACAAGGCCGACCTTGGGTGCGTGGTGTGTTAGGCATACATGTGGACGACGGGATCGGGGGCGGAGATGACTACTTCATGAGTGTCATAGAGCAGTTGCGGGGAAAATACTCGTTTGGGGCATTTAATACTGGGGAATTTGACTTCTGTGGTATCCACTATCGTCAATGGAGGGATGGAAGTATTGAGATGTGTCAAAAGAAGTATATCGAAAGAATAGACCCGATCCAAGTCCAGTGACAGAAACGGAAAGACAAGTCTTCCGCCAGCTGTGTGGCTCTCTTCAATACGCTGCGGTCCAAACCAGGCCTGACATAAGCGCCAAGGTGGGTATTCTCCAATCACTGATTCCAAAAGCATGCATAGAGGATCTCCTCGATGCAAATCGCACTCTGTTCGAGGCCAAGAAAAATCATGTAAACCTTGTCATTGTTCCAATACCTGAGAGTCAGGTTTCATTTTGTGCCTTTTCTGATGCTTCCTTTGAGACAAAGAAAGGAACGGCCTCGCGACAGGGTACCATCATTTTCACGACAGATTCTCGAATGGCCGAGAACAAATTGGCAGTGATTTGTCCAATAGCTTGGTCCAGCCGGAAAATCCCTCGTGTCATAAGAAGTACACTCAGTGCTGAGGCATCAGCACTTAGCAGTACCTTGGATAGGCTGAGTTGGTTGCGTTTGCTTTGGTCATGGCTTCTGGACCCAAGCATTGACTGGACCAATCCCACCGAAGTGCTCAAAGAGTCTCCGCTGGCATCAATTGCAACGGATTGCAAATCAGTTTTCGATTTGTCAACAAAGACATCAACACCGGTGTGTGAAGAGTTCCGGACAACACTGGAGTGTCTATTGATTAGGGAAAGATTGACTGAGAATTGCAAACTCCGTTGGGTCTGTAGTCAGGCCATGCTTGCAGACTGTCTGACAAAAGTCATGGATGGGGGTACTCTTAGAAAAGCATTGGCACTTAAGAAGTACTCAATGTTTGATGAATTGGACATTCTGCGACAAAGAGCCGATAAGCGTGAGCGTTTGAAGTGGCTGTCAGAGCAGGAGGCCAAGGTGCAGAAGCCAGCACATGATCTCATGCAGAACATGGAAACAAAAGTTTCAGAATTTTGAGATTTTGACGAGTGTGATTTTGGCCACATGAGATCATCCATTTCATCAGTGCTGACTTCTTGGGACACCTGTGGACACCATTGGACTCATGCATGACATGCAACCTCAACTCGCCGGTCTTGCCGTGCCACATGCATGGCTCTAGGTCGAGGTGGGTGGGATCGGGACTTTGAGTGGAAAAGGAAACAGACTGGCTTGCGGATAGACAGGGTGTCTAGGTGTAGGGCTGATATCCCCTATTGAATTCTCAATATATATATATACACACATGTATACATATGCCAAATGTGGGACGTTCCATCCAAAATTTGCACCCCTGCCACCGGCCCAGGCCCAAAGAAGACCCGGAGGCCGAGGTGACCGAGCTGCAAGAGGTGCAGCTGCGCATGGCCGGCCTGGCCACGGTGGAGCCCATCATGGAGATCCTGCGGGAGGTCGTGGGATCGGCCGCCACCAGCTGTGAGCCGGGGAAGCTCAGGGGCGCTGGTCATGGCTTGGCATTTCTTGGATAAAAATGGAGAAAAGATGGATAACATGGATGTATTTGAGGTTGATCTGGTTGAGTCATGGTGAGTGTGAATGTATTCTTTTCGATCTGTTTTGGGGAAAGGTGATGCTCACTTGATGAGCATGTTTGCTGCCAACCGGAAATTAATTCAAAGTTTATAATGTAAGTAGAACTGTGGAGCTTGTATCTCTGGGCCACAAGGTTCCGAGCAAGACTCAAAATTGTCAAGATGGGTTTGTCTCAACATTGTCATGTTAATGGGGAACCTGATGATCAGCCATGGGTCTTGGAATACACCGATTTTGGGATGTGACATACCCATACCCAGATAGTTTCGTTGGTGATTCAGACCCCAAATGATGTACTGGAAGAGCTGCTAAGCTGCTACTTCTTCCGAGGTTTGTTCCTCACGAAGTGTTGCTGGGCTCCAACGCGGAATTCGCACAGAAGGTGCTGGTTCTTTGGGCATCAGGAAGATTTGTTGACTGTTTTGACAAAAGCGGGGGACTGCCAGAGGACAGAATGGTTTTGGAGGTTGATAGGCCATGAGCTGGATGTGGATAATAGGGGGTCACCATTGGAAATTCGCTGGTGGATACGGGCGCTGCAGGTGCGCAATGAAGATGTCGAAGGAAAGGTTTTCTTGCTGGAGAACATGTCCGCCGTGGCCGAGGAACGCCCCCCATGCAATCTCCCTGACAGATGCTGGTACTATACCTGTGGGCATCTTTGATGTCTCTGAACTACTCTGAACCATCATGGATGATAAGATGGTATTTTGATGGTTAAGTATGAATTGATACTTTGATGGTTAAATTATGTTAAATTGAACTTTGATGGTACTATCCTTGATATCTCCCGTGTAGAAATTGATACTAGCTCCACCGCAGTAGCTTCTGTCTGGCTGCATCCTGCCCACTCGCAGGAGACGGGCGTGCGAAGGACTTGGTTTTCACCACCACCGGTGGAAGGGTGCGGCGCCTGGCGGTTGCGAGCTGTTAGCATTTCACAGTCGGCACAGCCACTTGCAAAGCACCCAATGGTTTAAAGTGAACATCTACAGGAAGCCATGGATTTCCAGGAGATTTCCGGGAAGCCTTTTTTTTTG